ACACACAACGAACGAACGAACGACGACACACACACGACACGACACACACACACACACACACACACACACACACACACACACACACACACACACACACACACACACACACACACACACACACCACCCAACCTGTGCATCAACGCCAAAGGAAGCGACAAAGTTGAAGAGGGATTCGACAGCAAAGTTGACAAACTGCACAATGTCCGACTGCAACACCACGTCCGTGTCCGACGCTGCCATTGCCTGAATGGAGATGAGAGCCATTGTTGTGGCCGAAGTGTTGGCGTGAGGAGAGGAACGCAATATTCTGGGTACGTGACACGCAAAACGAAAGGGCCGAAGGAGAGGCATGACAGGTGTATCGTCAAGCACTGAGTGATGCACCCGCTCGTATACAAACAGACATATATGCGCACACACAAATACTTGTGTTACCTGCTGGATATCTGCGAGAGGCTCAATGGAGATGCCAATCTGTGCCACCTCTACCTGCAGCGGCATGAACATACCATGTGTGCGTGTGCCAACGTGTGTGTCAACGTGTGCGAGCGTGGAGCACAAGGAATGAGAGCCTGAAATAGCACTCTTGAGACATGTTTCTGCGAGCAGCGAGAGCACAAATATACACGCACACAAGAGCACATAGAACCATACACAAACACACGCACACGCACACACACACACAAAGCACACACACACGCAACAACACAAACATACACACACGCACGAACAAAGCAAGCACGCACGAACAAAGCAAGCACACACGCACACACACACACACACACACACACACACACAAAGCACACACACGCACGAACAAAGCACACACCCACACATACATACACACAGCCACAACGCACTGGGTGCTGTGAAGGGTCAAAGACAACAGCGCCAAATGGATGGCTGCTACCATCGGCAGCGGTGGGTTTGATCTTGGCAATGCGGAATAGGGATGACGGTGCCTCGTTTGTGATGGCACCAAGAAACACCCAGTTCGGCTCAGGGTCGGGCCAGCACAAATACACGCTGGCGTGCACACACACACGCACACACACACACACACACACGCACGCACACACACACACACACACACACACACACACACACACACACACACACACACACACACACACACACACACACACACACACACACACACACACACACATTCACAGTTCAAGTGATGGTGGTGGTGTTTGGGTCGGTTGCACGTGAGCACGGCGTGGTTAAGCACGTTGTTCTGCAAAGAGCGTTACATGCAAACATGAGGGATGTCTTGGCTGTTGTTGTTGCTTTGTTGTTCTCGCTGCTTCTGTGCCACTGTCCGGTTTTTTGCTGATGCAGATGGCAACCAGCGGTTGGTCTTAGCTGGTTGGCTTGATACAGGCACCACTGTCTGCACCAAGGCAAGGAAGGGGAGCGAGCAAGCACGTGACACGTGTGGCAGTCCTGGCAGTCACTGCATCCAAAGCAGCAGGGGTGGGAGCAACAAGGAGGAGGCAGTGGTGCGAAATTACATGACAAGAACCGTGCAAGATAACCCAGCGAGCTTGCAGTGGGACCCTGATCGCCGTTGGAATCCTGCAGACACCACCATGGACGTGTACGCCGACCCTGGCCTCGGCATTCCCTGAGGGTCTGGCATGGTGGTCCCTCCGGGTGTGTTCGCGCGCATTCAGTCGCGCATGGTGCATTGCTTCGCCGCCGGCACCAGTGTGTGGCAGAACAGCTTCATCACGCTTTTTGCCCCTGTCGAGCGCGACGGGCGCATCACCGGCGATGAGCACATCGATCACTGGGTTCCCTGCCCAAGTACGTTCAAGGAAGACTCCTGAATCGCCCTCGACATGGTGTGTGTGTGTGTGTGTGTGTGTGTGTGTGTGTGTGTGTGTGTGTGTGTGTGTGTGTGTGTGTGTGCATGTTTCGCGAAACCGTTCCACCGGCTGCATACGCGTGTATCATGAAACCAAGCAGAGTCATACCACAAAGGGTAGACCTATGCACACATGCGTCATACACAACAACAGCAACAAGGGGGGAGCGAAAACAAGGGAGCAGCAACGAGGAAACCACAACTGGCGTGCGTGTGAACAGAACAGTGGGTAATGAGCGCAATGTAACAACAGCACCACAATGACAGGACTGGAGGAGAGAACAGAAGCCACAAAATGGACGGTGGTGAAAGGAAGAGAAAGGAGATGCCATGGGTCAAGTGGCCAAGCGCTACGCTGAGCTTACGTCCACCTTGTACTTCTTTGCCTCTCGCACCAGCTTCATGGCGGGACCCATTGACACACCGGAGGACCGAAGCGTCTGCTTTGTCAAGTCGCCCTCATGTACGAGAGCCACCAGCACTTCCAACGAGTCAATGCCGTGCTCTATCAGCGCCGACTCGACGTGCGACAGCAGCGAGTGGCGGTTGAGCCATTGAATGAGCTCTGGCTCGAATGGCGATGAGGAGGGGGAGGAGGAAGATGGGGTGGCAGGTGGTGGTGTAACAGGAGTTGTCGCGGAGGTGGACGAGAGCGACAACGAGGACTGTAAGATATGTGAGTGAGGGGGGTGAATCACAGCGTGAGCGTCTAGTGGAAGATGAAGAGGAAGAGAGTTCGCCTGCATGCATGCACCCACACTCACACTCACACTCACACTCAAACCCACAAACCCACACTCACACTCAAACATACTTGCACTTGCGTGGAACGACGTGCAGTTGTTGCTGGCCCCTGCGTTGCTTGTTCTGCACTCCTGGCAGAAGCGACGACCTGGCGCACCTTCTCCGCGATGTCGCGCAGCTGCGACGTGCGGTCCACAGCGGCGTCCAATGCAACCACGGCGTCAATGTCAAAGAGCGACAGCACAATCTCACGCACGGTTTTGTGTTGCTGGGGTGGTGGCAGGCGCAGCACCTGTGAAAAGTACTGATCGAGCGCGGCTGCCGTCTCTTTGCTCACAGCATCCGGCAACTTCATTGCCAGCCGCTTCAGTCGGTCAAACGAGTCGTACTCGCTCACCTCAGCCTTGCTCATGCTGCTGTCGTTCACATTGTGCCACGCGCTGCCAACAATCACGGGCACGACGCGGCGAAGGCGGATCTTGGCGTGTTGCTGCTCCTCATCTTCCTCGTGCGCCCGTTGGTACTCGCGCAGCGCCAGCATCGTCATCCACTCCAGCAGCACGTTGTCGCAGTAGTCGCTGTGCTGCAGCTGCCTCATCTGCATGATGGTGGCAGCAGAGACGATGGGGCAGGCCACCAGGCTCAGCCCAATCGCCGTCATGAACGACAGCTTGAAGTTGAGGCCCGTCTCCAGGTTGTTGGCGTCCAGAAACGCGACCAGGTTGCGCTGCTCCAAGCGCGGATGCAGCGCCATCACCAGCCCACTGCTGGCGCGTTGCCTGAGGGTGTGGTTGCGGGAGGGGGGGGGGGTTGGAGTCGGTAGTGATGAGATGAGGGGAAGCTACATGCAGTAGTTGTGGCTAGTGGGTGGAAGTGACAGACAGATACTGGCACACACACATACACATACACGCGCCATACACATACACACACACTCATACACACACACAACTCACCTGTAGCTGATGAAGACGTCGTACTTGTCCTGCAGGCCGAGAACGGGCAAGAGACGGCCATACTTGGCGATCAGGTCATCGGGTGACAGCAGCTGTTCGTCTACCCACATGTCCTGCTTGCTCTTGTGGTGGTGCAGCACATCCTCAAAGAACAGCAGCGTCTTGTCGTCAAATGGCAGCAGGAGGCTGCTCATCAGGCTTGGGTAATGCTCTCTGGCGGCCTCGCTGATCATGGTGTGCAGCATGTGCAGCATGGCGCGTGGCTGCGCACTCGTGATCTTCATCTTGATGCCGCCAACAGCCGGCACAAGCTGCAGTTCAAGCTTAGTCGACTCCATGAAGCAGATGGCATGGGTGCGGCTCAGCTTGGGTTCCTGCGATGCGCCGTGCTGTGCATGCGCCAGCACATGAGCCAACACGATTGTAAACAGCCCCTCGGGCAGGAACGATGCGTGCTGTGCATTTTCAACTTGCACGCTCGCACTTCGCTTGAATTGCTTCAGGCTGAAGGCAACAAATGCGGTCTTCTCCTCGTACCCAAGATATGGGTTGATTCGCTGCGCTGCTGTCGTGCTCAGCGACACGGATGCCATCGTGCTGCTGCTGTGGCAGATGGTCATCGGCAGAATGGCTGGAACCAGGTACTGCTGGTGCTTGTGTTGTTGTTGTTGTTCATCACTCTCGCTCGCATCGTTGTCACCGTGGCCGGAGTTGGTGCGGGCAAGTGCCGTGCGGCTGTCGACCAGCTTGGGTGGGGAATACTCAATGCACAGCCCGTATTGCATCATCAGGTGCAGGAACGGCATCACCAAGTTGTTGTCCACGCCGTTCCACAACACGTCGAGCAGGTGACGGTGCAGGATGCCGCGGTCAACGAGGTCGTCCCACAGCTGCGCGCCAACGGCCCTCGCCTCGCCATCACGCACATCGTGATGCAGGTCAAAGTTACGGATAACGCGCGTCATCGTGTCCACAGCCCACTGTGGACTCAGGATCACGAAATCCTCCATGCCAGGCACGTGGTCGTAGTACAACGCCATCGAGTACAGGTGCAGGAACTGGAGGCACGCCCTCGTCTCCTCACGTGTACGCAGCCCACATGTGCGTGCAATCGCCACCACCTTGTCAAACGCGAGCAGCGGCCGCTCCTCGTCGCGGGCAATGGCGTTGAGCTTGTCGTAGAGGTGGAGGTATGGCACAGCGACCTCCTGACTCACGTATTCCTGCGCCAGTGCTGTGGAGGAGATGGTTTGGCGCAGGTCCTGGATCATGGAGTCGTGGATGGACTTGGTGTTGTCAACGGGCCAGAACCACAGGCCGTGCTTGTCGTTGTGGATGACGCCAGGGAAGGCGGGATTGTGGCGCAGGCGACTGTAAATGTCACGTGAGATCTGCTCATGTTGCTTCCGCTTGCTGACCACATCAGCGAAGGTGCCGACGATGAGGACGGGTGCGCCCTTGGCGTGGAGGTGGAGGGAGGAGAGCCAGTGCTCCATAAATTCCCACGCCTCTGTCCGCTTGCTCTCGTCTTGGTGCAGCAGGTCCTCCATCGAGAACACCAGCAGGTACACCGCGTACCTGTTGGGTGGGTGGGGTGATGAAGGGAGAGGTGAATGAATGAGAGGTGGTGGAGGGACTGCAAGCAGACAAACGCACACACACAGGCACACACACACACACACACACACATACACACACGCACGCACGCACGCACGCACACACACACACACACACACACACACACACAGTGACCCACTTTGTGAGGAAGAAAGGGTGGAAGATGTAGAAGGTGGACTGGCCACCCAGGTCAAAGATCTTGAACGTGACCCGCGCTTTGCCCTCGCCCATGACGGCGTCCACGTTGAATTCCTTGATCGCTTTCTCCATTTCCTCAGCAGACATGCCGGGCGTGGTGCTGCTGCTGTTGTCACGCGCAGCAGCATCACTTTGGCTGGAAGGGTTTAGGGTGGCCTGCTTCGTGGGCGCAGATGCTGAGTCATGAGATGCCTTGCTGGGCTTTGGGACCGTCGATGTCGACGTGCGGGAGGATGGCCGTGACCGCGTCTCCTTTGAATTCTGTAACTGCTCCTTCTTCGACTTTGAACCCGTCGCCTTCTCTGCCTTCTCGGCTTCTTGTTGCCGCTGTTGCTGTTGGTGTTGGGCAACGCGGCTCTCCAAGTCGGCCTTCGCCTTCATCATCGCCTGCTTCATCTGCAAGTCCACGCCAGATTCCTGCGCCAGCGCTGTGCCGCAGAGACTGCGCATCAACTCAGAGATTTCCGCATCCAGCTCCTGCAAAGGTTGTGTGTGTGTGTGTGTGTGTGTGTGTGTGTGTGTGTGTGTGTGTGTGTGCGAGGGGATGATCGTGTCAACCACCACCTCGCTTCACACCCATCGTCGCACACATCACATGCTCGCATCAGCTTCACTCACACACCTGCCAGTCGTGAACGTCCATTGATTCGACAATGACGGCGAGGTCGGTTGAGGCGGCGCCATGCGTGGAGTGCTCGTGCTTGTTGAACATGTGACCCATGAGTGAGTGGAACGTGGAAGTCTTGCCGGCGCGCCCCTGACCAATGAAGATGAGTTTGGCCCTGCCCGCCATGGTCGCGTTGAAGCGTGCTATGACCCCCCGCATGCGCTGCTGGAGACGCTCCCTGCGCGCCTGCTCGGGCTGCTGCTGCTGGTGGCGGTGGTGACGGTTGTGTGAGACATCATGATTATGCTTGATACGAGACCACGGAGAGCGTGATGAAGGAATGGCATGGGTGACGTGATGCATTTGCTTGTGCGTTGCTGGCAAGCACCCTTCTGATCACTCACGTCTTGCGCTGCTTGTTCTTCTTGCTTCGGTCCGGCGGCAGGAGTGGGCGCAGGTGGCTCTTGTTTTGGTTGTTGCTGCTGTGGTTGCTCCGAAGGCTTGCCGCCTGGCTTCAGCCCTTGGATGCTGGTGATGGCAGCGTGGCCGGCCTGTGCCACATCATAGGGCCTCTCTCCCTGCGTGTGTTGGAAAGGTAAAACGCATGAGTTGAGGAAGGAGGGAAGCAGGGAGAGGGGGAGAACACAGCGCAAAGCAAAGAAGCAGTTGTGTCACGTCTTCAGAAACAGCAACACGACGCGAAGCACACCTTCTTATTCTTGACGGAAGTGTCTGCGCCCTTCTCGACGAGCAGCTTCACAATGGCTGGCTGGTTGTGCCTGCAGGCAACGTGCAGTGGCGTGTCGCCCTGTTGTTGGGTGGGGGCAGCAAGGGGCATGGCACGTGTGGTGAGGATCTATTGAAAACGAACACACGGCCGGTGCAACCATGAGCGAGCGCCGTCACATACGGGCACAACAAACACACCCAGACACACACATGATGAACATACCTGCTTGTCCTGTTGGTTGATGTCTGCATTGTCCTGCTCGATGAGGGACGTGACAGCTGGAGCGTCGCCATCCCTGCAGGCAGCAAACAGTTGCTCATGGTGTCGTCGTTTCTTCTCCTTGCGTGCTTCGTCGAAGGCGGCGTTGCCCTCATCGTCGCCAAACCTGTGATCCCACGCGACATTGGACGCAAGCATCACGCAGCATGTGTGCGTGAGGAGAAGGGTCGAGAGAAAGCAGGGATCAAGCGACTAGAGTGGAAGCACGCATTGACCAATCCCCTGTGATGAGTTCTCGGTCGACGGGCAGCGCGGCACCAAAGGCGCGGGCAGTGGCGGTGGAGTTCCTCTCGATGCTGAACGAGGACACGTGGTGGTAGCGTGTGGTTGGGAACAAGCAGCAAGTGCGGTGCGTGGGTCAGGAGGGTTGGTGGTTAGGGTTGTGGAGAAATGCAAGCAAGCAGAGAGGAACACACAGTGTGGCGTGCACTCAAAGAGTGGTGATTGGTCACACAAATCCACAACAGGACACAGGCGTTCATGAGGCAGGCGCAACGCAATTGACGGACTTAAGCTTCTTCAGCGTGCGGTTCTGGTCCAGTGCGGCACCCAGCGCCGCACCGCCAACCGGGGTGATGGAGTTCTTGGTCAAGCTGCAAGTGGCAAGAAATACATGTTGGAAGAGCAGGGGAACGGGTGGGCAAGCAACACGTGTCAGTGTCATGGATGAAAGTGGGTTGCAGATGGATCACGTGCACGCGTACTCGCTCGCACATCAGGTCCTACGACATTGAAGTCACAATGGCGGAAGCAAAGGGGGCAAATGCAAATTGCACAGGATGTGGCAGCGCTTGTGGCACAGGTGAAGGATGGAAGCATTTGTTGGTTAGTTGGACAAACATGTCGCAGAGACATCGTGGGTGGCTTGCGGTGCCTTGATCTGCACATGTGTACTGCAGAGGCAGCGCATAAAGACACACATTGCAAAGAGGAGCTTCCACTCACTTGAGTATTTCGAGGGTCGTGTTGTGCTTCAGCACCTTCGCCAACGCCACGGCGCCCTCATCGCCGATGGAATTGTCCCACAGGCTGTCAAGATGATGTGGTGGATGCCACACAGGGGGATGATGCCACATGGGTGAGGAAGTGCGTGAGTGAGTGATGATGATTGCTGTGGATGGCAACACAGTCATCAATCCACACATGGGCACGTGATAAAGGTGCAGCGGCAGTGACGCAGCATACATGTGCATGTGTGCGTGTACACACTCACTTGAGTTTTTCGAGGGTCGTGTTGTGCTTCAGCATCTCCGCCAACGCCACGGCGCCCTCATCGCCGATGGAATTGTCCCACAGGCTGTCAAGATGATGTGGTGGATGCCACACAGGGGGATGATGCCACATGGGTGAGGAAGAGTGAGTGCGTGCGTGCGTGATGATGATTGTTGTGGGTGGCAACACAGTCATCAATCCACACATGGGCACATGTGCACGTGATAAGGTGCAACGGCAGTGGCGCAGCATACATGTGCATGTGTGCGTGTACACACTCACTCGAGTGTTTCGAGGGTCGTGTTGTGCTCCAGCATCTCCGCCAACGCCACGGCGCCCTCATCGCCGATGGAGTTGTTGTACAGGCTGTCAAGACGGTATGGTGGATGCCACACAGGGCGATGATGCCACATGGGTGAGGAAGAGTGAGTGCGTGCGTGCGTGATGATGATTGTTGTGGGTGGCAACACAGTCATCAATCCACACATGGGCACATGTGCACGTGATAAGGTGCAGCGGCAGTGACGCAGCATACATGTGCATGTGTGCGTGTACACACTCACCTGAGCCATGTGAGGGCCGTGTTGTGCTTCAGCATCTCCGCCAACACCACAGCGCCCTGGCCGCCGATGGAGTTGTCTCCCAGGCTGTCAAAATTGGATGATGCCACACAGGGCAATGATGCCGCATGGATGAGGAAGAGTGAGTGCGTGAGTGATGATTGTTGTGGGTGGCAACACAGTCATCAATCCACACATGTGCACGTGATAAGGTGCAGCGGCAGTGACGCAGCATACATGTGCATGTGTGCGTGTACACACACTCACCTGAGCCATGTGAGGGCCGTGTTGTGCTTCAGCATCTCCGCCAACGCCACGGCGCCCTCAGGGCCGATGGAATTGTTGTGCAGGCTGTGCAGACACACAAGAACCGCAGGGAGCGACGGTGAACACACGTCCAAACATGCGCAAGCAGGGGAGGAGAAAGGGATGCAACGTGCAACACCGCCACCCCAATCAACCATGCATGTCACACGATGCAGATTCATCATCACCACGCACTAGAGTCGTTTGAGGCAGGTGTTGTCCTTGAGCGCCTCGGCCACCGCACGCGCCCCAATGACGCCGAGGCGAGCATTATTCAAGCTGTAATTTCAAATGGTGTGTGTCATGAAATGAGCAAGAAGACTGAGGATACACAGAGCAAAACCATGAGGGTGCCAGTCACAACCTGCCACAAACACACACGCACACACACTCTCTGTTGATGTGTCCAGGTGGTGCGAGGGGACAGGACACGCACACGTGAACACCCAACAGCAAGCCACACCAAGCTCATTGCAACACAAGGACAAGCCAAGCAGAGAGAGAGAGGGGGGGGGGAAGAATAAGCACAAGCACAACCACAAGAAGTGTCCTTCTGTCCAACACATGCATGCATGTTCCAACACGTCGTTTTGGTTGCTTTTGCACTCACCCCACATTGTCCCCACACGTGTTGTTGGCGATGGCCCTGATCTTGTTCTTCACCCCATCCTTCAGCTTCGTCTGCGCCAGCAACGCCTCCACCTCCTCCCTCGCTCTCTTCTCTCCGCCGGACATGGCGGCGCGTCGTCTTTTCTCCTTGTGGCTTGTTGTGACGTGCTCGTGAGCTGGAAGAAGACAACGACAAATGGACGACGACAGGGTTTTAAAAAATATTACCGGTGACCATTGCTAAACTACGGTTGCGAAGTGAGCATTGCCGGTTCGTGACCACGCGCAAAAGCTCGAGGCGCGTCCACTAACCATCAAATCGCATGCTGTGAAGCCCTACCCCCGCTAACCGCTACGCTCGCTCCCGCATCGCTGCGCTACCCGAACCAGATTTGTCGCACAGGGTTTTCCCTAACCGGCGGCTGCGCCGCCTTTGCGCTGCCTTGACACATGCAAATTCCGAAACTGTAGAAGCAAAAAACATTGGGAATTTAGCGAGCGCCTGCGGTAAAGTTGCAATAATCCCGACGACGACAAGTCAACGCGCTGCTTTTTGTTTCCTTTGTTTTGTGTGTGTTGTTGTTTTGCGACTCAGCCATTGGACGATTCGCAAAACCTTACAGAGGTTATCCGCACACCAGCGCTTCCGTGGAAGATGTTCGTCAACCATCTCTTCGAGCCCTCGTTGTTGCCGGGAACACAACAAACAAACAGGATGAAGTGCCTCCAGCCAGCCAGCCAGCAACGACCCGACTCGCTTTGTCGCCGAAAGGAACAACAGCCGCGCCCTCCTCGCTTGGTTTTGCCTGGTTGGTACAACACACCAATGTCTGTAGCCACATCAACACCACAAACATCACCGCCGCTCCACCATCACCACCGTCAACGGATCTCATCATCTTCATCGAGCCATTTACTGAGGAAAGAACAGGTCCGCCACACAACCCACAAACAACGCCCCCAGCCCAACACACATCAACACACACACATCCACACATCCACACACACAGCAGTGCCCAAATGCAACATGAAGCCAAGCCAACCAAACAACAGCCAGCCCCTCTGCACATCAAACAACACCCTCCAGTTGCAAGCCAGAATCAAATACGCACAGCAGCAGCAGCAGCACACATCAACCAAACACACCAAGAACGTGTTCAGCTGTACACAGCGCCACACAATAGAAACAACAGGCAAGCACAAGAAGGGCGTGACATAAGCAAGCAAGCAAGCAGGCGAGAGGGAGAGTGAAGGAAGGGAAGAACAGAAGAGAAGAAGAAGAAGAGAAGAGAAGAGAGCAAGAAAGGGAAACAAGAGGATGAGGAATCGACAGACATTCAGCCATGCTCTAAACTGGTGCACAAGTTGACACGCCACATCACAACATGGTGACTACGCGGACGAGCCAAGTGCCTCAACAGCGCGCTGCACGCGGGTGTGCACCTCGGGGTCCTGCATCAAATACCTCAACACGCCGTGGGCAGGCGAATCCTGCATATTCTACGAGAGGAAACGACACGAGGGTGTGAGAATGAGGAGTGGAAGAAGGAGCAGGGAGGAAGAGGGAGGAAGACGATGGGAAAGTACACGAAGTACACGACAGTCGCGCATCTTCGAGGCAGCAAACACACACACACACACACATCACATAAATCACACACAACACAACCCACGCACCATGAGGCTGTGTACATGCCCTGGCAGTGGGGCTCGTCGACGGCGGCCGCGGGGGTGCCAATCACCTGCACAAACAAACGCCCGCACAATCTTCACCGGGCTCTCAGGCGCAGTCTCGCGTGGATCTTGCCTACAGAAGCAACAACAAAAGGAAGGAGAGGGAGGTACAGGAAGCAATGGGAGGGGGAACGGGAGAGTCAGTCGCGAACAAGAACGACAGGCGGCAGAGCACACCACCGACACATGCAGCACGACCAGGCCATGCACACACACACACACACACACACACACACACACACACACACACACACACACACACACACACACAAAACACAGTCGTAGCACTCACGCTTGGAGGACCTCGACGAGGTATGTGAAGATGTACTTTGCTTCATCGTCGTCTTCTGTAATAGACAGCCAGTCAAGCAGATGTGTCAGCATCTCATCTGTGCAAGGGTTGGTGGTGGATGGGTGGATGAGGAGGTTAAAGAAAAAGCGACGACAACGTGACAACAAGAGCAAACAACCAACGCAAAGGACAGCGAAGAAGGAGTGTAGCAACGCACACACACACACACACACACACACACACACACACACACACACACACACACACACACACACAACCACACACACCTTTGAGAGGCCGTGTGCTGGGTTGTGTGCAATCTTGACAAAGGCGGAGATGCAGTTCTCGGTCGCGCTGGAGTTGGGCGATTCGCGGGAGCCGGGAGCCCTGGATCACAGCGAGCAGCGACTCAACAGCCTGAACGCGGCAGGACGACAAGGGGTGGCGGTGAGGTTTGGCAAGCCGAAAGTGGAGAAAGGAGAGAAGCGACGAAGCGACATGTTCACACACAGACACACACACAGACACAGACACACACTCACACACTCACACGCGCACACCCCCCCTCTCTCTCTTGGCCTTGAGCGCACCTTGTGTGGATGTATGTGGATTGTGGATCCTCCTCCTCAATCTGGGCGGCGCTGGCTTGCATAACGCGCATGAGCTCGTGTGCATCCGGCGCAAACATGTCCTTGCAAACAAACACGCCCATCAGGCCGCGCAGCATGCGGTATTGCCTGTCGTTTGAGTGTTGGAGAATGTTCTTCATGAACGGCACAGAATCGTTGTCGTAGTCCTTGAACCGCTCCTGCGCCACGTTGGCCAGCACATGCATGCGAACCAGAAACACGATGGCCGCCCCCTTGCTGCCGCTGCAACCAGTGAGGAGCGCAAGCACACCATCACCTCGTCAACTGCCGCTGTTGATGTCATGGCGTGCAGCACCACAACAACCGCCACAATCACGGCCAATCCCTCTTCCAACAACGGTGTGGTGGTCCAACAGCATCCACCGCAGTGAGCTGCTTGAAACCGGCAGTGTGCAGTGACGGCTGTGGCCGCGGTGGAATGCCTCGCTGGCAGGAGATGAGGTGGCGGAAAACAGCAGCAGTTGAGATGGTCAGGGAGAAGCACAGCTAGCAGCAGCGGGAAACTGGTTGACAAAAGAAAAGGGCCTTGAGTGCACCGCCACAACGCCGCGCAGGACAGCAAGCAGTGCAGCTGTTGCTGTGTTGGCGTGGTGTGGCTGACGATGGCGTGAATACGCATGCATGCACACACACACACACATGGCAGTGTCGGGGATGGTGATGATGATGTGGCAGGTTGAGGTGGGGCCACGTGCTGGCAGCACTCAATCACAGCAAAGGTGCAATGCCCGTGGCTGTCGGTGGCTGCGGTTGGTTGAAGCGGCGTTGCGGTGACGATGTGTGTGGGTGGTTGGCTGCAGCAGCAGAGCCTGCGCTGGGCCGGAATCGGTGTGTGCACGCGTGCAACGGGAGGGTGGGGAGCAAGATGCAGGCGCTCCACTGGGCGGGGGTGATGCGACTTGTGTGAAGACAAAAAAGGAGAGAAGAGAGAACTGACGATGAGAAGCTGTCGTGCACGACGTGCAAGTGCAGCCCTGCATCAGCCCAGTGGGGATGTTGAATGGTGTTGTGTTGACGAGGGGTGGTCGGTGTGCGTGGTTGCTTCGACATGCGGGAGGGGCAACGAGTGCAAATGAATTCAATCACACACATACACACACACACACACACACACATACACACATACCCACATAGACACACACACACGTTTTGTGTGGCGCTGGGAGCGATGTCTGCTGGTGGTGTCAGTCATGGTGGTATGGAAGCGGAAGTGTGGTGGTGGGATCCTTCACCTCAGTGCACATCCCAGCCACCACGCTGGAGACCACGAGCTGGCTCACTGTCTCCATGCCCGTGCATGGCACCGACCGCCGTATGGCAGCGGTGATGACAATGTCAGAGGCCTGCTCTGAAGCAAGCACACATCGTGACAGGGGTTAAGGAGAGAGTATGTGTGTGGGGTGTGGGGTGTGATTGACGAGGGGAGGTGGTTGACAAGAACAAGGACGTGCTGACGGGATAAGTGGGGGAAGGAGGCGTGCAAACTGTGGTGTGCATGTCGCGTCACACAGCACATTGAGGTGCAGTGCAGTGGAGTGGAAATCCCAGGCAACACCCCACCCCCCACGCCATCAGCCACACACATACCGAGACAGAGCGAGAGAGAAGGAAGTGCCTCTTGTTGTCGTGGCACACGGTGATGGCACCCGCTCAAGTACACGGTGCTGTCATTCAAGCCACCATCATCATCCTCATCGTCAGCCTGCAAAACAGGTGGTGGTGGTGAAGATGAAGGCACACAGCGTTGCAGCCAAAAGCAAAGGGGGAGGTGAGAGGGAGGTGGCTTGAGATGTGTGAGTGAAGGGGGGGTGGAGAAGAGATGGTGTGCAGAGAGCAGGTCAAGCAAGGGGTGTGCAAAGGAAAGAAAGGGAGAGTGGACTGCGAGGCAGGAAGGAACAGTGTAAAGGAAGCAGAGCAGTGAGTACAACACACACGCACGCACCACGTGGTGGGCGTGTCGCTCGTCCAAGCGGAGTGAATGAATACATGTCCCTTGGCTTGGCTTGCTTGCTCGCTTGCCTGCTTGCTCGTCTGCTTGATTGATTGATTGATGGATTGCTTGCATGTGTCATTGTCATCTGTCATCAATATCCCCCCTGCGGCTCCCTGCTGCTGCTGCTGTTGTTGTTGTTGTGGCTGTTGTGGCTGAGTATGTGACCAAACCACCACCGCCAACCACCACCACGCACCTCCCCATCCATCCTTTCCTTTCGTCGCAGCGAATGCAGCGTGTGTGTGTGTGTGTGTGTGTGTGTGCGTGTGTGCATTGCGCGCAACCAGCCACGAGTTGTGTCTGTGCAGAAGAAGACGGGGAAAGCTGAAATCAGTCGATGGCACGACTGTGGAGATGTGGCAGCCCAAACTTGCTTGCACTCGCTTCATCTTCTTCTTCTTCTTGTTCTCTTTGGTGCAGTGCACACAGCGAGGCGAGGCAAGGCAAGGAAGGAAGGAGGAGTGATGTAGCAGTCACCCCAACAGCAGCATGGGGTGGGAAGAGAGATGTGGGAGAGGGGAAGAGGGGATTGTTGGTGATCGCTACCCAGTCACCAACAGCCAACCAGACCAATGTGGAAGAAAGGTCTCTGACACACACACACACACACACACACACACACACACATGCACACACACACACACACACACACACACACACAGACACACACACACACACACACACATGCAACACAAAGTAGGTGTCACGTCAACGATCCCCACGTGAGCCAACACACATCATGCCCGCTGTTCCTTTCTCGACTTCTGCTTCTTCTTCTTCTTCGTCTTGGGCACTATTCGTTCGCTCCATGCGTCACGCAACCAAGTATGTGAACGTGGGACGCGGTGTCCTGTTTGTGGTGGCAGTGCTGTCGGTTGTTGCTGCTGCCGCTTCGTTGTGGGTGTGGGTGTGGACTCCCTTCTTTCCTTCTTCTTGTGGCACAAGGATGTGTGCAGGGGGCTGCGCGCCTGCTGAAAGTGGTGGTTTCGTCGTCGTCAGGTCGTCGTTGTTGTGCTTGGCTAACGTGAACATGTGTGCTGTTCTCTTGTGGTTGGACAAGGCAGTGGCCTGCAGAAACAACGCCCCTCAGAGTGCACTGGCAACACGTGCCGCTGACATACGCACACCACAAGGCAAGCGGCTAGCAGTGTCACTCACGGCCACCTGCGAGGTGGGTGCAATCACACCTCCGCTCTGTGTGTGTTGTGTGTGTGTGTGTGTATCAGTGCACGGTGGTGATCCGATATCCAAACCACAACCACTGCTGCTGCCTTGCTGCTGCTGTTGGCACGTGTGTTCTCACGGTTGCATCGTCTCTTCCTCCCACGCAAACAACAAACAGACAGGAATCGGCAAGTGAGAGTGGCGGAGACCAAGGCACCAGCAATACAGAAGGCCACGTTTGAGTGGGACGCACCTCCACAGCGGTACAGGGGTGAGCAATCACAGCATTTGCGCTGACATCGGTCAGTCCTCTGTCGTGGTCACACATCATTCATCCTCCAGCTTGCAATCAAGTCAGTTTACATGGCATGCACGCTGTAGGTGCTCATCACCCGCCCCATGCGCACGTGGTTTCCTCACACGCACACCCCACAACAGCCCGCTCGCTGGACATGTGTGACGCGCGAATGCTCGGGATGATGATGGAATGCCCACGTCTCATCATGACAGTGAGCGATGTGTGTGTGTGTGTGTGCATGTGTGTTTCTCGTTACGCTCGGCAACCGTTTGATGACGGCTTATCACTCCTGCGCACGTTCCCTCGCTCACTGCAACACCCATCTCGCCACCGTTAACGACCAGGTTGCCATCCACTGGATGCCCTTGATTGCGTCGACGGAGCAGAGCGTTGGTAACATTGGCAAGGTGCTGCTCGTGGCGGGACAGAGCGAATGCTTTCAAAAGTATGCGCACGCTGTATGTGTATGTGTGTGTGCATATGTGTCGTCGACGTGGTCATTCTTCCATGCGTCTGCTGTCTGCTATTGGTGTGCCATCGTTTGATCTTGTGCTGCGATGTGTGGTCCTAAGCTCTGTTCCTCGTGTGTGTTTGGGCCACAGGGTACGCCGTCAGCTGAAGAGAGGAAGGAGGCGCTGCTCCGGCACAAGGATGATGGTGACATGAGGTGCAACCACCAAATTGTGTTGTTGTTGCGGGCGCATTGCCGCCGACGGCGCTGCTGATGCTGCTGCTGCTGCTGATGTGTACCTGCACACACTGAACCACTCATCACTCGCTATCGTCTTGCAATCCTTCTGTGCACTTCTCTACACCGCTTCGTCTCGACAGCTTCATGTCTGCAGAAGAGAATGAACTCTTTCACACAGTGTGTGTGTGTTTGTGTGTGTGTGTGTGTGTGTGTGTGTGTGTGTGTGCAGCAGTTCGTTGCAGATATCTCCCACCACTTCTCTCATCCCCTTTCATTCGCGCGCCTCACCACACAACAAACGCACCCATCGTCTCCACCACAACCACCACTGTTACCAGAACGCACTGCCCCGAGATGCCGCTGCACCATCGCACTGCCAATGGCGGTCCTGATGTCAGGGATCACCGCACGACATATCCATCGATCCTCTTCGCACGTGCCCATCGTTCAAGGTGAAGACCTGCCAACACAGCAACAGCAACAGCAACGGCGTGGAATGGCGTGCAACCGAAGCATGATGACCTCACACTCTTTGTCTGCGTGTGTGTTATGATTACATGTTCATGCGTGCGTGCATCTATGGCAGGTGTACGTGTACCGTCTGAGTGCTGATGAAGAGGCTACCCTTGCCAGCCATCTACCGCGCCATCCGAACCGCCATCCGTGACGGCCGTACAGCACCGATGACCCGTCCAGGGCTTACCTCTTCGTCCCAGGCACCGACGTGTCGTGCTGGTGTGAAGGTGTGTGTTTGATTGTGTGTGTGTGTGTGTGTGTGTGATTGTGTGTGTGTGTGTGATTGTGTGTGTCGCGTCGGTGCAGATGCACGGGCTTCCACAGCAGTCACTATCACCCACCACCACCTCATAATTGTGTTTGCGCGCTTGCGGCTGAAAGATTGCATGCACAGCACGTACTCTGGCAACATTGAGTCGATGCATCCCGTGAGCGCAGCCATCGAGCGCCATCTCTCCAGCTGAGGTGGTGGTTTGTTGTTGCTTGTGGTGCTCGTGGTGCTGGTGTGCTTGTGGATCTTGATGTCGTGCGTGTGAGAGGACCTGTGTTCATGTCTTCCAAACACACACGCTCACATGCTCACATGTGTTGATACATGCCAGACTTGCGTATTGGAACGAGGGCCGCTACCACATCCTGTTTGAGTACAGGGACGCACCGAGTCTCCCCTGGCATGCAGAACACGGCATTCTTGCAGAGGTACAATGTGTGTGTGTGTGTGTGTGTGTGTGTGTGTGTGTGTGTGTTGGAACATGACTGTGCATGCCTGCGCTCACCATCGACGACTGCTGTTGCTTACACTTCACCAATGCCGCCTTGTTTCGCATCACCACCTGCATCAGGTTGGCCTGAGCGAATTCCACCACCGTGACGGCCTCGATGTGTCCATGTCACTCTTCTCCATTGTGACATTCATTTCACACCGGAGCAACGACGCGTTCCACCTGCACAAACAGAAAGTACCTCGTCACCTTCAGGTCTGTGCATGCATGCGTGTGTGGTGTGACGTGGTGCGCTGTGAGGTTCGATGTTCACTGCTGCTGCTGGATTTAGAGGGGTTGGTGTCGCTCACTGCACCACCACTCGCCCTTCTTGTAGCCGCTGCAACCTCACTCCAAACCCCTTGTGGTGTCGCTGCTTGACGTGTGTCTTCTTTCCCTGTTGTACAGAAGCACCATCGAGTCTGCTCGTTCTGATGCCATGCGCAACCACCCCCCCCCCCAAGCTTCACAACGGCAGGTGTGTCGTGCTACGTGTGTGATGTGCTTTGTGTTCTTGTGTGTTCCGTGTGTGTGTGTCGTGCGTTGCCTCGGAGTCAACCCGTTTTGGTATTGTGTGCGTGTCTGTCTGGATCCACCTCTCTCACTCACACATCGTCCCTTTGTATGTTTGCTTGTGTATGCGCAGGGACACTGTGTTGGTGTGCGCGTGCCGGTGGTTTGGCGAAGAGCGAATGGGCCGTGAGGGGGAAGGTTGGATATGACCCATCGTGTAAGCAGGCAGAGGAAGAGTTCAACAAGTACACGTACACGGAGCTGGCGCTGGAGACCAAGTTTGGGCTCATCGTGGAAGCATTTGGGTACCCCTCCTTCAGGTGTGTGTGTGTGTGTGTGTGTGTGTGTGTGTGTGTGTGTGTGTGTGTGTGTGTGTGTGTGTGTGGCAGACAATTTCGGTCCTGTTCGTGCTCTTACCTACCTTCCATCTCCTGCCACCCCTTTTCATGCCTCATATATCATGACTGCAGGTGCCATCCCCGTCATTGTCGTCGATCACTACGTGCTGGTGCGTATGGATGGATTTTACATTGTGCGTGTGTGTGTGTGTGTGTGTGTTGGTGTGTGTGTGTATGTGTGTGTGTGTGTGTGTGTGTGTGTGTGTGTGTGTGTGTGTGTGTGTGTGTGTGTGTGTGTCTATA